GGGGGGGGCGGGGTGATGAAGGAAAAGCCCGCCACCAAAGAGCCGTCCCCATCCCCCGCCTCACCACGTCCTAGAAACCGGGAAGCAAGGTCTCACAGCTCCTCTCCGAGAAACCTCCGGTTCTCACTCGTGTCCTGCTGTCCCACCCGTGCAGCAGTCCGTGACGGGGACCGACCTGTAGGTAGGCAGTGGAAACCTCTGGCAGAGCCGAGCCGTGCGGCAGGTCCGGCCGAGATCCCCCGGAGGGGTCAGGTTCTGCCCCGGCTCCTCTAGGAAATGAGAGAAAACTGTGATCAGGTTGTAGTGGAAGCATATACCCAGTTTTAAAAATTTGCCCCCATTGAGATCTTTAACGCCTTACAGCAATTAATAAACATACGGTTTATCCACAAAATATATGTTGCTTTTATATGTCAGATTTCAGAAGTGTATTATTCTCTGCTACAGTATTTTACGTTTTACTGCACTGTATTAGTATACCCAGCTCTTTCTGTCATTGGTTTTCAGGAATAGTTGGTATCATAGTCGTTATATTTACAAATGAGGGGACTGAGGTGCATAGCACAGCTACATCTAAGCTCCCTTTTGAGCCTTCCTGTTAGCCTAAATGAATACAACTAAACTGTATTCTAGTAAAAAGAAAAAAAATCTGTCTTTGCCCAAGAGACGAAATGGAAGCATTTCAGATAGGTGGTGAAAAAGAATAGGTATTCTCACTGTGTAGAGAACAGTAACTTAACACAGTGCCTTTACAGTTATTTAAATTTTAGGAGGTGTGGTTCAGCCTCCAAAGTGTCAGTGAAAACACCCACTGATTTTTGTGGTCCTGCATGAATCTGAAACAGAACAAATAGGACAAAATGCTGAGTATTTGGCAGAATTTTAGATCCTCGCAAGGCGTTAGAAGGAAAATATGTTAATCCAGGTGAGATAGCATGCTTATATTAATGTACTATGTTGTATAATTCTATATTAAGTCTAGTACCAGAACCACATTTTTGTAGAGCTAGCTAAGTTATTTTTGTGTGTCAGCATATCAAGCCACACAGACTTGTAATAAATTACCATCAGATTCTGCAGTTACAAGAGAAAAGTTATGTTCCATTTAGGTGAAGATCCACAACTCACAGCCTGTCAAATTCAGTATTTAAGGACTATTGATTTTCATTTAACCGATTTTCTTGTCTGTAATCTTCTTAATTGCCATGATGGTGTTCCAGAATGAAGTAACTGCAGCCTCGGTGCAATGAAAATATGTCAAAGGGTAGATAACTATTTAGAGCATAGGTAAGCTTTATGAGTGATATAAAATTATTCTTAAAATATTTTTGATAGAGAATTTCAGCATTTAGGCGTAATTTCAGGAGAAATATATTGTTTCTTGAATCTGAAAGAGGGGTAAAGCATGAAAATGTTTTCAGAGAAAAACAGAAGAGAAGTCAATAATGTTATTTTTTAAATTAGCTGTGATCCACAGTGGTTTGTTCTTTCTGTTGGCTTTCTTAGTCGTCATTACTCTTCAAGACAGTTTTAGTGAAAAGAAAGAGTAAGCACTGTGACATTCATTACGTTCTGTCCCTGATACATCAATGTTGGCAGTTTAGTCCATGTTTAAATATTAGGAATTGCATTCTTGTATGTGCACAGATGGGTCATTGTTGTATTTTGGGGCAGAGAGGGGGAGGGGTTAGGAACTATGGAGAAGAGAATATGTTTCCTTGGACCACTATAGCTTACAAGAAACTCACAGCAGCAGCGCTTTCACATTCTTCAGACTATAGGCATTGTAATAAAATATAACTGTAGATGTGATGTTCTTTGGCTGTCTTGCAATCATACTGTCTTTCCTAGCATATTCCTTGATGTCACCAAAAGCAAGAGACTTCTCTCTGTATATAAAGGGGTCATTTCACTGTGAATAACTAATGTACTGTAAGGAAAAGTATGCTTTAATTGTTGGTTTCCCTGTATCTCAGGGACATTGACTTGGCTTAAACTACTTTGTTTCTAGCTTCACACAGCTGTTGATGCCTTCTAAAACTTGAATTTCTTTCTCCATGTCTGTTCAAAGCACAGAAGTGAATACTGCAAAATAAATGGCTGTCTTAAAAGTCATCACCCACTGCCTTCTCTATGACTTTAATTCTTTTGATTTATGTGAGTATTTCATCCTTGTCTGATTTCTGATGCAGATCTATGTTTTCTAAGAGTTTTCTGTTGTATGATTAATACTGGGAAGAAAAGTGAGTTATACTACTTCAGTGAAGTGAACCATTGTAAAAAAAGATGTCTTACAAATGGACATTAGTGCAATGATTTCTGCTAGGTGAAATGCTGATGGGCTTCTTTTTGTAGTTTTAAAGGGAGAGAAATACATGAATGCATGCATATAGACAAAATAAACAACTATTTCTTTCCATGATTCTATCTTCAAGAAGTGTAGTATACCATTTGCTGCTACCAGTAATACCTTACAGCTTCACTGAACTCCCCCGGTTCCGTTATCTGAGGTTCTGAAAGATGAAGCCAAGGCTGTCTCTGTGCCTCACCAAATTCTTTGGGCTAGGGAATGGCTCAGTGTCCATTGATTCTTTCTTTCAGATGCCCAAGAATTAGAGGGGACAGATGATAGTAAAAGAAATTCAATACAAAACAGCGTAATTCAATACTCATTAGCTCAGGTACCAAGAGACTATAGAAATATTAGCATTACTAATTTTTTTCTATTGAGAATGTAAAGAAGCCTCTTCAGTTGACACAGGCAAAGCTGGAGTGGCTGGATGCAGCTGCACTGTGCAACCTTGCACAGCTCCAAAAGCAGGGCTGGAATGTGGGTGCAAGTTGGATGCACATTTGTTGCTGTAGGTATATTGAAGGTTGAATTTGTACAGTTTCTGGTGAAAAATTCTTTACATATTAAAACTGAATGTGCACTAACTGGAGTTGCTACCAGAAACACTAACGTGAGACATTAAAACTTCTGTGCCTGTGTAAGGAATAAAGTTAGCGTTAAGGTTAGAGTTAGGGGTTTAAAGGATGAAATTGCATGACTGCTCTTTGAAAAAGACAATCTGCTGATTTGGAAGGGGGCTGTAGTTGGTAGGAGCTTATACCTCTCTCTTGCTGCAGGAGTTTATCCCCTTTTTTGTTAATATGGTTTATGTTGAGAGTTAAAAATGTAAGCCATCAAAATTGCATCCTGTTCTTCAGGATCATGAAGATAAGAACAAGTTTGAATGAAACCATTACAATAACCTGTGTTTTCTTTTACTTTAGGGATAATCCCTCATACATAAGTAAGTATAATCCTTCTGCTAGAACTTGGTTTCCGTGGAAACAATGAAAAATTTTGTATTTAAGGGAGTTTGATAATAAAGGCTTAATCTCTCACCTAGAAAAACAAGAAAATCAAACTTCTTTTGTGCTCTGAAAGTGAATTGAAGATAGGTACAAAGAAGACAAACAATAATATGTGATACAAAACTCCTAATATAACCTTTTCACAGTCTTCTCCAGTGAGGCAAATTCTAGGCCAGCTGATTGCTTCCTTCTTTCGCAGTAACATGTAGTTTACAATGTAGGATTATCAAATCTTTCTGGATAGCAAGGCCAGATTCAAGCTGCTACTGGTCCCATTTGGAACCGCCTCTTTTCTGGTAGCTGCTTGTCTCTCTGCTCCCAGTAGCTGTTCCTACCTTTCCCATTGTCTGCTCCTACACCCTCCTTCCTTTCTGCTTCTGGTTTCACTTCCTGCTCCCCTCTGGAGTTCTCTGGGAGAAAATATAAAGGTGTATGGTGTTTTTCTTCAGTTTTAGGACTCAGCTGCCAAGTTTCATAAAATTCGGGTGAGGATAGGCCTAAGTCAGGGTTTTGGAATATGAAGTGTAAAGATACTAGTTTATTGTAGGATGTTAAAATAGGAGAGAGTTTGGAAATGAAATTGTCAAGAGCACTAATGTGGATCTGACAGTCCCCCTAGACGCTTGAAGGGGCCTGGGTCAGAAAACCCATTACTTCTTGCAGTTTTATACTATAGTGATTAGCCCTTGTCTTTCCATAATTTGTATATGA